TTACAGTTGTCGACTCAAGAGGCCAAACCATTTTGATTGATATATATATGACCACGTCCAAGGTCTCATATGTTAATTTATTCTAATCCTGCCTAAAAAATTTCCATTTGAGGGTAGGCTGGTAGCTATCTTGATGAGTAATAAAATCGATTCGGGTATACGCGCGCCCCACCCTTGGTATAGCTGGCGCACAAAAGTAAAGCTAATAAAAAGGGGAAACAAAGGTCCCGTACATTAATTTACTCTAATCTTACCTAAAAGAATTTCAAGTGCCGCGGCTATTGAGGGTTCCCTCTTGTTGGAAGGTAATATGAGGGAAACATGATTAAAGTAACTCAATCTTTTAACGAAAGTTACCTCAAAATTGGCAATGTTTAGATTTCTGAAGTGGCTTATCTTTAGTGCGTTTATATTTCAGTTGTTTTGCTTATTTATGGAGTAAAACTATTAGGTTATGCCTGGTACAAGGGCTAACTATTAGGTCATGCCCTGTACAAGGGCTAACTATTAGGTTATGCCCGGTACAAGGGCCAACTATTAAGTCATGCCCGGTACATGGGCTAACTGTTAGGTCATGCCCGGTACAAGGAACGAAGGACTCGCAGTGATTTTTTTAAAATGAAATAATTTCCCAAATTATTTTTTCTTCTTCGATTATCATAGAGCTGCCCCCCCCCCAGTGGCACAGCGGCATGTCTGCGGACCTACAACGCTAAAATCCGGGTTTCGATACCCGTGGTGGGCAGAGGACAGATAGCCCATTGTGTAGCTTTGTGCTTAATTACAAACAAACAAATAATCATAAAGCTGATATTTTTACGGCTTAGGGAATGAGCTTAATTTTAGTTTTTCACGTTTATGTATTCGTGTTAAAAACTATTTTGTGTTTAACAAAAGCTTAGATTTTTTGTGGAAGCGTTTAAATAAATAAATAAATAATTTTGAAAGTTTAGACACGTTTAATGTTTATCTTTCAGTACTTTGATGTAACGCCGGGAAAGCGCACGTGACAATACGAAACTGCTTCGAATTCATAAAAAGAATTGTGTTTGTTCAGCTTTATAATAGAAGGTATGGAAGATTTATTCAAACCACACCGATAAATACTTTCAGATAGGCCTTCGGTTGTATAAAAATGGCTTGGTAAATGTTTACTAAAGTAAAAAGCTTTAGGGTATTTGACTTGTCTTTCTCATTATAATATTGACTCGCAATCTGAGGGTCGCGGGTTCGAATCCCCGCCCCACAAAATATGCTCGACCTTTCAGCCATGGGGGCGTTATAATGTGACGGTCAATCCCATTATTTGTTGGTAAAAGAGTAGCCCAAGAGTTGGCGATGGGTGGTGATGACCAGCTGCCTTCCATCTAGTCATTCACTGCTAAATTAGGGACGATTATCGCAGATATCCCTTGTGTAGCTTTGCGCGAAATTCAAAACAAACAAATCATTATAATAATACTTATGTTTTATATTACGATCTTTAGATAAAAAATTTGTTCTGCATAGTGGTTTGTTTGTTTCTCGTTAAGCACAAAGCTACATAAAGGGCTATTTGTCCTCTGCCCACCACGGTATCAAAATCGTTAGAAGCCCTACGACTTAGCGCCGAGCCACTGAGGAGCCGGCACAATGATTAGCACTCGTCTGCGTATCGGAAAGTCCGATGTTCGAATCGTAATGTGTCAATGAACATTTTCAGCTTTGGTAGCGTTATAACGTTAACAAGCAATCCCGCCATTCAGTTAATAGTAGCCACATAGTAGTCGGCGGGTACTGCTGATGAGTTTCCCTTCTGCTTAGGATATTTTAGTTAGGGTGGATATCTTTAAACTTTAGGCCCAGCATTGCCAGGTGGTTAGAGTGCTCGATTCGCAATCTGCGGGTTACGGGTTCGAATCCCCGTCACACCAAACATGCTCGCCCATTCAGCCGTGGGGGTATTGTAATATGACGGTCAATCCCACTATTCGTTGGTAAAAGAGTAGCCCAAGAGTTGGCGGTGGATGGTGATGACTAGCTGCCTTCCCTCTAGCGCAGATAGCCCTCGTGTAGCTTTGCGCGAAATCTATAACAAACGAAACATTAAACTTTAGGCAGATGCTAATGATGTCTTCCCTTTTAAAGTTATGGATAGATTTACTTGAACCTTGGGGGTTTACGACCTGGCCGTTCAAGTCTTTTGTCGAATATATTTTACGTGAACATCTAATGAACATCCCTAATACTCTCGTTCCTATATTCGCGAGTTGAATGATCTATATTGCTTTAAGAATTGGGCAACCTTTGTCTACTTTGTAAGGTTTGAGAATATTGGTGGATTCGGCTTCGTAGTCGGAACTTTGTAACTTGACAACAACAACAACAAAAACTTGACAGTTACTGTAATAAAAAAAAATACCCTTTTTTAATCTCTAAAATTTGTTTTATCTTTTCAAATCGTGGTATGGTTTGCTACTTCACGATTACTTTATAAATCTTGTCGGTAAAGTATTTTGGTCCGTCAAACATTTAGAACTATAGAGGCCGTAGA